CCGCCTCGGCCTCCCAAAGTGCTGGGATTACAGGCTTGAGCCACCGCGCCCGGCCAGCAAATAAATTTTTAAAGAAAATGTTCTCTCCATAAATAACTTTTACCGTAAGATAGAAGCTCTCATAGGTAAGTCTATTCTGAAAGATAAACACAATACAATTCGAAATAGGCCAAATTGGCTACTTTACAAAAAAAGAAACTTCCTAGGATGTCTGCAAAACAAATACACTTCGCTCTTACTTGACTCCATTTTATAAACAAATGTGCTTGCAAATCTGCACAAATTAACTCAATTTACTCTTACTACAATTTCATCCCACTAATTGGACCTTTCATCTATGTCTTAATAAATTTTAATGGTAGAGACAAGCTGTTCTATAGTTTGATAACAGCCTTACTTTCTGTTATGAAACAGAACAGTACCCTTTGGCTAATGTAATTTTTAGGCTTAACATACATTTGGTTTCTTCTCTTTTTTCGTTTAGCAAAAAGAAGCTCAAAGAGGGAAGACTTTCATCACTTAAATAAAATGAATATAGTAAATATTAGCTAGACAAGTCCATTACAAAAGGTAGCTGTGCAGCAGTCTCCAGCTGTGAAAGAGGAGACATTTATCACATATTATTTTAGTAATGTACATATAAAGTCATTTTTTCTAAAAAAGCAAATACTTTGACTTAAATGCCAGTGTTGAAAAAGTTAAAATTTTTGCTTTCAATGTATTCTTCTTAAAACTGAAATACAGACCTAATTCTCACATAAATATATATACCTACTTCGTAAAGAAGCTCAATTGAAGTTGATTAGCTTTCAGTTTCCATCAATTTGAGATAAAACATGTTATTGTCTTTATTCCATAAGGTAATAATTTTCACTGTCACTTGCTCAATTTGCACTTACTACATAAATGGAATACAGCAGGCTGGGTGTGGTGGCTCACACCTGTAATCCCAGCACTTTGGGAGACCAAGGCGGGTGGATCACATGAGGCCAGGGGTTTGAGACCAGCCTGGCCAACATGGTGAAACCCTGCCTCTACTAAAAAAAAAACAAAAAAATTAGCCAGCCATGGTGGCACACACCTGTAATCCCAGCTAATCGGCAGGCTGAGGCAGGAGAATCACTTGAAGCTGGGAGGCGGAGGTTGCAGTGACCAAGATCGAGCCACTACACTCTAGTCTGGTTGATAGAGCTAGACTTCATCTCAAATCGCCCCCTCCACCCCCACCACACACACACTGTATTACAGTTAAATAGTACACTCTTACATATGTCAGTTTATATCTATTGGAGTTTACCACAAGCATATGGCCACCTGGATTTTTTTTCAGAATTACTCTTTGCCATTAAACAGGATATACTTTCCTTTTAATACAGGATCATTAAATGTCAATAATGAAATGTTTAACTTTAAGAACAACAAATTAAAAAATTACACCTTGCTGTTATTTTTTAATAAATTGAAGTAGGCAGGGTGTGGTGGCTCATGCCTGTAATCCCAGTGCTTTGGAAGGCCCTAAATGGAAGGATAGCTTGAGGCCAGGAGTTAAAAACCAGATTTGGCAATACAGACAGACTCGTTTCTACCAAAAATAAAAACAATTAGCTGGGCACGGTGGTGTGATAACTACTAAGGAAGCTGAGGTGGGAGCACTGTTTGGGCCCAGCATTTCGAGGTTGCAGTGAGCTGTGATCACACCACTATACTTAAGCATGGGTGACAGAATGAGACATGGTCTCTTAAAAAAAAAATGGAAACGAAAGAAGAATCTGTTGTAGGGGGAGGGCTGGTTACTGTAAAATTTTATACTCAACCAATTCATTTCTCCAAAGGTAGGTTGTTACTTCCCACAAAAGAGAAAAAGATGGTTCATTAATAAATCTTCTTAAAAACAACTTACGTGTCTCTTACAATGAGTGCAGGTTGAAAAAAAAAAAAGACAAGTTAGGAATTGTGAAAAGTCACTAGGGAAGTCATGGTGTTAGAAAAGTTTTGGAGACAGTCTAGGTTCAAATTCTTGGTCATGCTACTCAGAGAAACTTTTGATGTTGGGTAAGTTTCTTTACCCCTTTTAGCCTCAAATTTCTCATCTAAAAAATTAGTCACTGTGTTAAATAAGAAATAGCAAATAGAGGTATTAGCACTGAGCCTAGTATGGGCCCAATAAGGCAGCTATTACCATTAATGTGAAGACAAGCTGACCAGGGACCTCATTAATAACCTTGCAAAAGCTACTATGGTCGTTTTGCTTCAAAGCCCACTCTTGGCTGGGCATGGTGGCTCACACCTGTAATCTCAGCAATTTGGGAAGCCTAACTGGGAAGATCGCTTGAGGTGGGGAGTTCGAGACTAGCCTGGCCAACCTGGCGAAACTCCGTCTCTACTAAAAAGTACAAAAATTAGGCGTGGTGGCATGCACCTTATAATCCCAGCTACTGGGGAGGCTGAGGCAAGAGAATCGCTTGAACCTGGGAGGCGGAGGTTGTAGTAAGCCGGGATCACGCCAGTGCACTCCAGCTCGGGCCACAGAGCGAGACCTTGTCTCAAAAAAACCAAAAACCCACTCTTTTCCTTTCTTAGTAGGTTAACAACTACTGGTAACTTTCTCGTATTCAATATTAGTGTTAACGTCTCTACAGAACTAAGGGAATAAAAGGGGTAGAGCTAAAAATCGAATTTTACAGGTAGCAATAACCTGGACTCAGGTAAAAGTGCATGACGCATAATTTGTCAAAGGGCCCTCATCCAACTATTCTACCAATCCTCAGTAGACCTGATGGGGGTTAGAAGGGTATTCACCGGCATATGATTTTTTTTTTTTTTTTTTGAGACGGAGCTTTGCTCTTGTTACCCAGGCTGGAGTGCAATGGCGCGATCTCGGCTCACCGCAACCTCCGCCTCCTGGGTTCAGGCAATTCTCCTGCCTCAGCCTCCTGAGTAGCTGGGATTACAGGCACGCGCCACCATACCCAGCTCAATTTTTGTATTTTTAGTAGAGACGGGGTTTCACCATGTTGACCAGGATGGTCTCGATCTCTTGACCTCGTGATCCACCCGCCTCAGCCTCTCAAAGCGCTGGGATTACAGGCGTGAGCCACTGCGCCCGGCCCGGCATATGATTTTAAAACAAAATCACTTCAGGCAAAAGAAAAGTCTAGCACCCAGAATAGTACATACTAGGCAGGATTAATCTTAATAATTACGTGTTGAATGAATCAATAAGCTGTACATTTCAAATGGAAACTTTAATTTCCTAGGAAACACCGAGTTATTGAACAAAATTTTCATTTGCTATTATTCTGAACTTACCAAGAGGTCAAGATTCAAGTTTTTATTTTGACTTGATTATTTCAAAAACCGTATGCGGTAGGAATAATCCCTAAAGTAATGAAAACAAGGAATGAGATTTATAAGCGGTTGAGTAAACTGCCCAAAGTTAACATAGTTTGTAAAGTATAGAAGCAGCTAAGATTTGAACTTGCTTTTCAGGGCTCCAAAATCCAAGCTGTCTGAGCATCACTAAAGCTTGTACCACTGCTCGTCTCCCTAAACTGTCTGGTACACAGAACATTTATTACATTTTAACGTTTTTGGTCTTCTATGTTGCCAGTGCTTCCATTTCACATTACCTCCTTTGCTGGGCTATACCCTCAATACAACGAGAATGGTGTCAGAGTACAGGCCCTAACAACAGAAAATCTGTTTTGCTCCGTACGCCGGAGATCTGGCGCCACCACCACAAGCGACAAACACAGGCTGGGGTCCAGAAAGGCTGCCGACCGCGCCCAGATCTCAAGTTTTAGTCAAGGCCCACGTTCAGACTAGGAGAGGGGAGAAGAGAGGTTATCTTTCCCGATACCCTCGCCACGGTGGAAGCACTGAGGAGAAGGTTGGAGTCGCAGTAACAGTGCAAGCAATAAGCCCGAATGTCCCTCTTAAGCCCGTTAAACGCACTTACTTGAGCGAAGTAATTCTAGGACAGTAGGCCGGCACCGGCAACGGAAAAGGCTTCTCTGTCCTCCAGCCCAGGGGCTGGTGCTGACGACATCTGGGCTGCGCCGCAGAGAGTGAAGGCCCAGTGCGAGGCCGCGATCCCAGCGGACGGAGCGCGCGCTCACGAAAGGGGCGGGGCATCCCAGCGGCGTCACCTTTAAGCGTCATGGGCGGGGCTGCAGTTTCTGGACCTGGGACTTTGAACATGTCGCGCATGAAGCGGATGGCGGGGCCGGATCCCCGCGCTGGTTTCAAAGCAGGTGGAACAGACTGCAGTACCTCCGTACCCCAAGGGCTATTGAAGGCAGCGAGGAAGAGCGGCCAGTTAAACCTGTCGGGTAGAAACCTCAGTGAAGGTAAGACCCGAAAGTACGACCCTATTGTGTCTCTTGTCAGAAATCCTTTGGCCCAGGCGGCTTCCCTTTTCTCTGGGCTGGCTTTGGCCCCCTTTCTCAGACTGCTAGCCAGAATTTCTGTGCTCTGATCTAATCGCTTTACTCATTTCGACCGGCGTGGTCAGCTTAGTTCAATTCCTTCCCAGGTTCCAGCAATCTCTGTTGATTGCTAAAAATACGATCTAAATTTAAACGGGGTGCTTTCTGGGATTCCCATATTCTGTGGGATGAACAACATAATATGTGACGAAACTAGCTATCAGATCACAGGCAAATCTTTTGTTTCTTTGGCCCTTATTTTACTTCTCTTATTTTGATCTTCAAGGGCACTTACCAAAGCTAAAATTCTATATTTTATCTGCTCCTTTGTGAACCTGCACTGTTCCCTGCCGAGACGCCTTTCTGAATGCAACTGTGCAGAGTCCTAATTACAAGGAACAATGAGCATATTTTTTAAGTTGAAGATCAGGATAGATGCCACACAAACTGTTTGAATGTGGGGACATCCTGAGAAACCTGGTAAAGACCAACAAACACAAATCTGGATACCATGAATAAATGGCCGGATGCTCTTCTGATTGTCCTGTGTGTGTGTGTAAGAGAGAGAGGGAGGGAAATGGAGAGATGGAGAAATAGAGCATTCTTCCTGTAATGTTTTTCTTCATTTATATTTAGGTTATAAGACTAATTAAAACCTTCCATTTTTCTTCTAATGATTGCTTTCTTATTGTGATAATTATAAAGTAGATTAGGCAAACAAATACTTGCTGGATGAATAAAAGGACATATGAAAAAGAACTCCTACTCTGCCAAAAAGAGTTTTCGATCAATGGGAACTTTTTCAAACTACAGTTTGAAAAAGTAAGCATTTTCAAACTACAGTTGTGCATATGTATATACTTGGTTTCCCCAAAACCTGGAAGATTTTTCTCTAAACGTGCATACTTAAGTATCGTTACTAACACTCTGTTCTCTTACCTGTTTAATTTTTAATAGCGTTTATTACTATCAGAATTTATATCATTTATGTTTTTTGTCTTCTCTGCCCTCCAACCAAAAAGTTAATTCCATGAAGTCCATTCCGTGAGATTTGTTTTGTTCATTGTTGTATTTCTATCACTGAAAATAGTGCTTGAAAATATTGATATTTTCAAGTGATAGAAAGTATTTCTATCACTGAAAATAGAGTCTTCTTAAATATTGTGGAAGCAATAGGTAAATGAATGAGTATTCTGAAATCATAATTGGTGTGCTAGAATGTACTTACTGATTAGACTCAGGTGGTTTAGTCTGTTAAACCTTAAGAGAGCACATGGATTTTGACCCTTACGTCTGTAATGATATGGATAAGAACTGCTTAGGTTAAGGCCGGGCGCGGGGGCTCAAGCCTGTAATCCCAGCACTTTGGGAGGCCGAGGCGGGTGTATCACGAGGTCAAGAGATGGAGACCATCCTGGTCAACACGGTGAAACCCCGTCTCTACTAAAAATACAAAAAATTAGCTGGGCATGGTGGTGCGTGCCTGTAATCTCAGCTACTCAGGAGGCTGAGGCAGGAGAATTGCCTGAACCCAGGAGGCGGAGGTTGCGGTGAGCCGAGATCGCGCCATTGCACTCCAGCCTGGGTAACAAGAGCGAAACTCCATCTC